GAAATAAAAAGTATTAAGCGAGGTTTGGCCTGGCCAGTGGAAGTATTTCAGAAGTTGATAAATCAGTAGTGGGCATTTTCTCCTTGCCATAAATCAAGTAGTGAGCCTGTGTCTACAGGTGACAGTGGCACACTAAAGTTTGTGGTTCGTCTGTTAGAGAAGGTATGAAGTCCGAAGTTACTAATCTTTTACAGCCACTAAAAATGCTCTGCCAATGTGACTTTTCAAATACAAACAGGCAGTTGCTGTACTTTAGCACTGGTTATTCCTAAATAACCAGTTATTATTCTCTGTCTCTGCTGGGAGAATTAAATGATAATTCTTGCTTTAGTGGTACCAAGAAAATGAAGCTGAGCTGGCGTGGGTGGCATATACTGGATTTACACTGATGGAGACACAGAATTATATTGTGCCTTCTCTCAATTCCTGTTATGTATTGCTACAGCTACGAAGAAGTGTACAAGTACCTGATATAATGGTTGCAGGTTGTAAAAAAGGATAAAAAGGGCTCTAAAAATATAATAGACTTAATCCTCAGCAGGAAGAAACTGACATTTATGGAGCTGCATCAGATTATATTATCTGGGACTTAAAAAGAGCCAAATTCTGTTCTCTGTTGCAGTGTTCTAAATCTGCAATAAATCAGCTCAGTGAGTAAACAAAATACATAAGAAAAGACATTGTTTCTGTATGTTATTTGCTATTGGTTTATTTTGTTATTATTATGAACAGCTATGCCTTTAACTGGGGCAGGTTTGGTCTTTCACTAGTCAGCTTTTATGTTTTATTACCATATCAATAATGAATGTACATGAATATGTAATAACCAGCTATTTAATTAATGCATTCGACATTGTGAGACTAGCAAAGAGTAAAATCTATACTCTTTTTAGAAAAAGAATCTCAAGTATAAGGAAATTTCAATTGCAGATTCCTTTTCTCTGTTTTTTACTTAACATCATAATCGAATCAATGATTCAAAGTAATAGTTGATTTCCACTTCAGATCTTTTAAGAAAAGGAAAGATGGATATCTAGAGAAGGAAAGACGAATAATAATTGCAATAAATATGTATTCTTAAAAATACAAAATTATTCAAGATAAAATACTGAAACTCCTTTGGGAACATCAGCAAAAAGAAGGTGGTATTACAGCTCTGATGCAGAGATGTTTGCATTTGGCTATTGTTAAAGATATGTGTAGTTCGGTGAAAACAGTAAGACCATTTATTTAATATTAATTGTATAAAGGATTTCCTGATTTTAGTCTTTGTCTCCACACGCTTAAATCTCCCCAGTGTGTAAACAGGAACAGCAGAGGGCAGGTGCCAGGAGATGTTGGTAGTTTGCTGTAAGGCAAGGAATGCACGTCCTCTTTCTGAGGTCAATTTCTGTCTGGTTAAGAGTGTTTTGTGAGCTGCAAAATATTCTCTCTGACACTGGGTTTCTTGTGGTTTACATCTGAAAATCCAATCCAGTAGAAAAAAATGCTAATGTTATTTTCAAGTAAAGTAATGCTTGTCATTATTATGGTAATACCATCTTTGTATGCTTCTCAGAGGTAAATACTCTTTTGTTAGATTAAGGCTATACAGAAGGACTCCAGGCAAAGGATCATGTTGCATTCTTTTTTTTTCTTGTAATTTTAGCTGTCACCCTGTTTGACTAAAATACCACCTAGTGCTGTTAGTTACATCTTTGACTTAGGACAGGTGTCAATCAAATAATATTCACAAACAATTCAGAGTATTGCCAAACTTTATCAGGTAATTCTTTTTTATGTGTGACACCTGCTCTTGCCAAGTCAAGATTATATTAATGTTTTTAGTAAGTGGGTTTTTGCCATTGATCTGAAAACCTTAGTGATGATGGAAAGGAATAGAATTCCCAGCAAAGAAAGGAGAAAACAGAGCGGATTAGTAAGACAAATTGTATTAGTGATAGAAATTTCCTATTCTTTAGTCCTTGTATTAGTAAGCAATTCACTAGCCCACATAGTTCTGTTGATAAGAACATAATATACATCCCTGCTTGTCATGGGAATGGGTATCTTACTGTGCAAGTCACTTTGATTTTTTAAAACGTTTTTGGAATACACTGTGCTGTCATACTTGCCCCCTTACAAATGAGATGGAGATACACTGATTCACACTGCATAAACAATCCCAACTTTTTTTTTTTTTGCAAAGTCTACTTACAGTTCTCTTGGCTTCCATCACCACGTACAGAGCAAATTGATTACCAGTTGCTCTGTCTCCATTGTACTTCTGCAGTGCTGCGTCGACAGCTCTGAAGACATCAGGATCATCACAGTCCGAAAATTCATATGGAAGAGGGATGGCTCTGCTGCAGAAAAAACTACAGCAGAGTGCTAGTACAATGAAAGGTTTCATAATTGGATGAAAAAGGCCACCTGAATTAGAAGGCTCTTTAAAAGCCAAATGGAAAAGAAGTGCCTGAGAGGGTTTTAGTCACCTCTTCTGTTTTTCAGGAGCAATAGCTAAGTAAACAGAACAAGTGGGCTGCTGGGGTTGGTTGGTTCTCATCATAGCCTGTTTATACTGCAAATAAACTTCTGAGTTTATCTAAATAAACTTTGTGTGGTCACCAGAATGACACTAAGGTTATCCACCTGCCATCAAGATAACAGGATAAATGGCTGCAGATGGGGACATGTTTAGACTGAGCAGGACAACTCTTGAGGAGAAGAGAAAGAATGTTTGTAGCTTTCTGACTTCTTAACATCTAAACTGCTACTGAGAATGAATTCTACAAGGCTTAAATAAAACACCCAAGAAGGTCACAGTGGCAAGGAAGTTCTGCACAACAACTTTATAAATTTTGTAGATCAGTGTTCAAACTGCAGTAGTTCTGAGAACTGTAGCTCTCAGAACATGTTTGAAAAAAGTCTTTGGACAGATGCATATGGTTGAATGTCACATAAGTCTTCAACAACACTTGATAAACGTTGTCCTTCGCAGTACTCTTGGAGATGTCCATCTCTGCTGCCATGCAGAGACTGCCTTTGGACCATGGATTAGTCAGTCCATGGTGCTTTGTTACCGTTACGGATATGTGACACCCAAGAACAAAGGATTAAACAGTGTTGCCTGTGTCTGGCAGAGCCAGGATTAGAGCTGGCTGAGAACATCTAGTGCTTTTCTCCAGTGTTTGGCACCATATAGCTTTTCTTCAGATTTACGAAGAATTGGGATTGCCTCGGCTCCTGTGTTCCAGCTGTGTCTTGCTGTATTTGGGTTGCATGGCAAGGTTTTGGTAGCAAGGGGCTGCAGGGCTCACTTCTGTGAGAAGCTGCTGGAAGCTTCTCCTATGTCTGACAGAGCCTGTGCCAGCTGGCTCCAAGATGGATCCAATTCTGGCCAGGACTGAGCCTGTCAGCAGTGGTGGTAGTTCCTCTGGGATAATAGAGTGGAGAAGGGGAAAAAAAGAACTAGGAGAGAGAGGAGTGAGAATATGTGAGAAAAAACTACACAAACACCACCATCAGTGAAGATGGAGTGGGAGGAGGTGCTGCAGGTGCTGGAGCAGAGATTTCCTCCAGCCTATGGGGCAGACCATGGTAAGACAGGCTGTCCCCCTACAGCTCATGGAGGTTAGTGGTAGAGCAGGGATCCACCAGAGCACATGGATTCCCCATGGAGGCTGTGATCCTGTGGGAAGCTTGTGCTGGAGCAGGTTTGCCGGCAGGACTTGTGACCCTGCAGGGGACCCTCTCTGGAACAATTTGTTCCTAAAGGACTGTATATTGTGGAAAGGACCGACACTGTAGCGGTTCATGGAGGACTGTGTCCAGGGGGAGGGATCCCAGGATGGAGCAAGGGAAAGACTGTAAGAAGTCCTGCTCCTGAGGAAGAAGGAGTGGCAGACGCAACATGTGGTGAGTTGACTGCAACTCCCATTCCCATCCCCCTGCACTGCTTGAGGAGAGGAGACAGACATAACTGGGAGTAAAGTTAAGCCTGAGAAAAAGGTTGGGGTGGGGGAAAGGTGTATTAAAGATTTATTTGTCATGATCTAACTCTTGTTTGATTGGTAATAGATTAAACCAATTTCCCCAAGTATAGACTGTCCATGATAGTATTCAGTGAGTGATCTCTCTCTGTCCTTACCTTGACCTGTGAGCTTTCTGTTGTAGTTTCTGTCCCCTGTCTGGCTGAGGAGAGCAGTGATAGAACAGCTTTGGTGGGCATCTTGCACCCAGCCAGGGTCAACCCACCACACTTGCTACAAGTTTTGATTAAAGAAAATGATCTTTAGTAGAGACTATGGATAAACTGTGCCAGAAATAAGATTGTTTATACATGTTGACAGACTTCTAAAACTTAGTCAATCTTCACTCGGTTACACTGAGTACCCATTTGTTTCTTTTCCTTCAGTGTAACCCTAAGACTGTTTTTCACTTTATGCTGTTAAAGAGCTATTTTGAGGATGAAATTACTAATTTTCTGAGATTAATCCCAAGTTCTTGCTTATGAGATAGGTGTTCTGAACCAGCTCACTGGGGTCCTGGGACTGTCAGAATGGACTCAACCTTGATCTGGGCTGGAGTATAAAGAGGCACCACTATTCTTGCTTCCTGCTCCTCCCAACTCAGTTTCCATTGAGGAAGGTTCAGTGATAAAGAAAATATTTACATGAAAGAGTTATTACATGCATCTGCTTTCCTCTTCCCCTGAGAGCAATTATGAGCTATTTGAAAAGGGCTCTCCTTGACTGCAGTATTTCTGGGTATCACCACCAGCAGCTGTAGCAATGGAAGCACCTGTGTGGGCCACCCTGTAGTGTGAGACTGCAAGTCATTAACTGTTCTCAGACCTTTTCTAGGTAAAGGTGGTAACCCAAACACCATTAGTGAATTTATGCTAGAGTTTGCTTCATGGATGTTTAAATAGCTTAATAGTTTAATATAATTTATTAGTTTAATATTAACAGCTAAAAATTGATAGTAAAAAAAAAAAAGACAAAACTTAGGCAACTTTGTCAAGAAAAAAATTCTTGCATATTTTTATTTTTTTTTAGTTTGTATAAAGCATGAATGTAGTGCCATGGATCACTTTTTGTGGAAGGCAGTCAAATTTCCTCTAGGTCAGATTCCTCTGAGAAGTACATTATAATTGTGAATGATGACAAAATTAAAGATTTTAGGTGGTAGTTTTCACTATTAGGGAATTTTCCTTTTAGTTAGAACTGAAGGAACATTGTTTACTGGCGAGTTTTTTACCCATTCACAATATCTGAGGGACTCAGAATTTTGAGCCTTTCAGTCACAGTGGAGCCTGAGATAGCCAGAATGAAGATGCAAGTTGGAATACTTAATGATTCTTTTCAATACTTCTCCTCCCTAGAAATTGAATGCTTTCCCCCTTCTCCCTGTGCTGTTTTCATTCATTGAAGAACTGCCATTGGCCCTGCAACTCTCAAGCCAGGAACGTCTTTCTCTGGGGTCATAAAGGAGAATTTTCTGCCATGGAGCTCTAGGGAAATAACGGCAAAATTTTTGGAAGAACAAGTTTAGGTTTTCCTGGGCATAATTCTGATTGTGTAGGGTGATATGGAAAACCTGGATCTTCTGGCATCTCCTTTAGTCCTTCACCAGTGCTGGAAGAGTGAGTGTTGAACTGGGATAGCTCAAGGAAGTCTGCACTGGGAGGTGTGAGGGAATCCTGCTGATTTAGAACTGGAATGCGATAGATAGTTCCTGTCATGTGGCATGGAAAATACTTTCCTGACATGCTTGTCTTGTTGCAGTGATGTCTGTAATGGTGATGACAGTGATGAGGAGGGTGTCCTGGATGTGGTCCATGATGGTGAGGAGGATGGGGGTGATCTGGTCCGTGAGGAGGAGGAGGGGGAGGAGGACAGTGTGGTCCATGAGGAGGAGGAGGACAGTGTGGTCCATGATGGTGAGGAGGATGGGGGTGATCTGGTCCATGAGGAGGAGGGGGAGGAGGAGGACAGTGTGGTCCATGAGGAGGAGGAGGGGGAGGAGGACAGTGTGGTCCATGAGGAGGAGGAGGGGGAGGAGGACAGTGTGGTCCATGAGGAGGAGGAGGAGGACAGTGTGGTCCGTGAGGAGGAGGAGGGGGAGGAGGACAGTGTGGTCCATGAGGAGGGGGAGGAGGACAGTGTGGTCCATGATGGTGAGGAGGATGGTGATGACCTGGTTTATCATGGGGAGGAGGGAGAGAAGAAGGAGCAGGTCCTTCATGGCTGTCTTGATCCTCCTTGTTGAAATTTTGGCTATGCTCAGGGTCTTCAGGTCCGGGCTGAGAAGAGGGTGGACGTTCACGTCTGTGATGATGTCCATGATGATGTCTGTGACCAAAATGATGACGGAAGTGGGGATGTCTGTGTGGTTTTCCACCTTTGCCTCTTCGCCCAAAGCCAAGCTGCTGTTTATAAAAACACCAGGGGAGGAAGTATTAAGTCAGGTGTTGATAGGACAGAAGAAAGTGATGAGAAAGAGAGAGGTGGGAGTTAGTAGGTCTGCATTTATAGCTCTGATGATCTTTAAGGAAAAAACCTGCATTTTTTTCAAGATGGAAGGAGTAGATGAAAAAATGCCAAATTACTGAAAATCTTCTGGAAATAGTACACCATATCAAAATTATATAACCAGCTGGAAACATTTGTGATGGATCAAAACAAAATAAAACCCACATTAAAGTAGCTATTGTAATATAAACTGTAATACCAAATATGATAAAGATCATCTCCCCTTCTCTTGCTTTCTAAAATTCCTTTGAGCTTGTTTGCCAGTCTTTACTCTCTTAAACTAAGTCAAGTGATTGACCTGAGAGAAGACTTGGAGGGAGTAGTAGTGACAACTCAATTCCAATTCATCCTCTGATTGACCTCAAAGGTCAATCAGTCCCAACATGCTGCATCACACTCAGGCAATAATAAATTGGCATAAACAACTGTTACAATCATCTACCAGCATGGACTAAGCGAGGTTGCTGTAACCTGCACGAGGATATAGCGAGAGATGTGTCCACAAGTGAGTACATACCCAGGGATGGTAGATTTCACAACTTATATCTGTTCCATCAGGTTCATCTGCATCACTTACAACTCTTGCTGTGCAGAATCCCATGTGCTAAGCAAAAGAAAAGGAAAAAAGAACTGCAACGTACATCTGGGTTCTTGTGATGGAGTTAATAGAAGCTACTGAAAGTTCAACATTTTACAAGTGAGGCTGGTTCCCTCGACACCTAAGTGTGTTTACATAGCTTAGCTAAATTCTGAGCTTTCTGGCCAAGGCTTACCAGCAATTAATAATGATTAAAATATGTGCCATTTTTGAAGATTCTTGACTGTGAAGACCATTTCATCATGTGCATCTAGAGGGCTTCTACTCCCCATCTTAATTCTCTTTTGAAGTCTAAGAAACTGGCCAGCTACTGATGTCTCCAAAACAAGTACCCTGTGAGTGATTGATTTTTATTCCTTTTTTTGTCTGTGCTCAGATAGGGCTATCCTGAAATTTTACTCAAAGTTCTCAAAACCTGTCACTGTGTAGCTATGCTGTTTCAGCCAAAGTTCAAGGCAGAGCTTTCTTCCTTGTTTTAAAAAATATTTTCTTGTAACTTTTTAGCATTTCTTCCCTTAGCATCCTGTTTGCTATGACTTTCTCCTGCTGTCCAATCATTGTGTGTGGAATTGCTCATGTGAAAGAGCACAAAACTCTTTGAGGGGTTCTGTGTATGCTTTCTGTAATGAATGCTTTATCTTGATATGTGTTTGGGCCATTAGTAACCCATTATGATCAGTGATTAGAAATGTTACTGGCAGTTTACACACGCAGCAATGGTGGCAGCACTGAGAACAGAATTCAAACCCTCTATAGCCGTTTTGTGCTTCATTGTAGTGAACTTGTGACTCTGCTACCAGTTAATTCACAACCCTTTTCAGTCTTCTGGGGTATACAAAGCTAGAGAAGAAGATGGATGTAAATAAAACAAAAGTTTTACATGTTTTATTTTTCCAGGTTTTTGTTTCATTCCTTCAATTAATTTCTGGGAAATATTTTTTTCTGAAGTTATGAGACCTTGCTTAGCTGTTTCTTTGGTGTAGACTATTATGGTAATGGGAAAGTGGGGTGAGGAGAATACTTTGATAATTATCTGCAGACAAACTTGATTTATATAATCTACTCTCCATTCCTCTGCAGTAGAGGAGAAAAAGTAACCCTGAGCTCACCGGGATGACATAAGACATGCGTATTAGTGTAAAAGTTTTTATGAACATAGCATGGATGATTTGCTAGGGATTAGCCACAATATGAATGCAAAAGCCAGACACAACCTGAAAAGCTCTAGGCCTCTAATGTGCCAGAGTCCAGTTACATTTAGATCTGAGAGTTCAAACTGTCTCATTATAAAATAAAAAGGAGCAGCTATAAAATTAGGATCTGGGCTTGGACATGCTGGATCTTTAATTTTGAGTTTGGGTTCATGGTTATAAGTAACGTTTGGAAATATATTGGTAAAATCTTCCTGGTCCCATCCATTGTATCAGTTCTTATTCTAAAACTTTACTTACAGCATGCCAGTCATGGAGAAAATCACAATCCAGTGCCTGATCTTCTTGCTGCACAGTTTTGGAACAGTTGGTCTCCTTTATAGAGAATCCTAAAATGTGAACTTCCCGGGAGCCAGTCTGAAACCAAGAGGTCAAACAAGAAACAGTAACTAAGTGTATTTAAAATCCTGTAATTTTCAAAGGAACCGTATTTCATTTTGTTGTCAAAATCCCATCTAGGTCATGCTTTCCTTTCCTGTCCTGTTCAAATACACATATTCAGTGAGGAAAACAGGTTAGATAATTTATACCTTACTTTCCTCCCACCCTCCCAAGTTCCAGAAATGCTTACTTTAATTCTTTGTCTAGTATGTGTGTGTTATAAAAGCTGTTACTTTTACAGCCTGTGTTTTTAGGCAGTAGTGTCCTTAGAGTCCTCCTGAAACTGAACTGCTATTCCTGTGAAAATAGAGAGATCTACTGGATGGCAACCACCCCTTTCCAGTGATGGAGGTGCAGAGTATTACAGTTCTGATGTTAATTTGGGGAGAAACCTGTGAGATTGTTGCTTTCTTTCGTGGCAGGGGTGTTATTCATAGAGAAGGCATTACTCCATACGAATATGGGAGAAGGCCTTTGTGATCCTATTAAAATCCATAAGGAGGTGTTTCATTTTAATTTCCAACTGTAACAGTACTTTATTTCAAGTCTGTGTTAAAGGTGTCCATAGCATGTGTGCACACAAGTTTCACTAGTTTAACTAAACTGGTTAAAAGTGGATGCTCATACTTTATGGTAGAGTTTTTTATTGTAATTCATAGTTTCTGAGTGTTGTGCAGTCTGTTAAAATCCAGTGGTACAATCTAAAGTGTCCATGTAGCTGAAAATAAAGTGTTTGGGGAGAAATACATGAATCCAGGCAATCTGGAAACAGCCACTTGCTAAATTGGAGTGGGGGGAGTATCCTGCATGGGGCTACAGTGTGGAACACTGTCAGGTTTCTGAGCAATATTAAAAGCTGCAGGGAGGCGGGGTTGGCCTGCTGTAATTTAGGCAGTTTCCAAGATTAACATGTGTTATGGTAGGGGCTGTGGGACTTCATTACAGAGGTGTCCTGAGCTGATACATGTTGGCAGAATGATCCTGTGCTGTTTCAGTAAATGCCTCCAGTATCTACCACCAAAAAATTTTGGTGCTGCGAGGGTTATACTTCAAATCAGCCAAGGCATAAGTCTTCATGTTGACATCACTCAAATATGGAGTTATTTACCAGAGCCAGAAGTTCTTCAAGAGGTACAGCATAGATACAAATTCACCTCCCATCCCAAAGAGCTGTCAGTGCTGCTTTGCTTTGCAGCAGAGAGTCAAAATGACTTCTGAATTTCCACTGTGTTGTTCCCCTGAGCTAAATATTCTAAGAGTAGAAAATTGTCTTCATTTGACAAAATGTGTGACTATGATAATACACAACTGTCCATCTAGAACTCTGGTCAGTAGTAAATAAACTCATGTGTGTTAGGATAAGATAGGTAAATAGGCATTCAAAATTAAAATATGCACACAAAGAAGGTTTTGAATTTTGAATGCTGTCACACTGCCATAGCTTTTAGTGAATAAGAAATCCTTTTGCTTTCACATGCCTAAATTGAAGTTGATGACAAGTCTTTGCAGAAGTAGGACTTTCAATTTTAAGCAGATGATTTGTGCTGGTAGGTCTGTTCCTAGAAGGATTTGAGCTCTGGTCCCATGGTTTTGGAGCTGCTCACAAAATTTTGTCATTTATAAGTAATTCTAGGACAAAATGCCACTTACCGTCTTTAAAACCCTTTCAACTTTGTCCACAGCGAAGTAGTTTGTGTGGTTACCTTCAATCTTGAATTTCTTCAGGGCCTTTGTAGCAATATCTTTATGTTGCTCTGTGACTTCTAAGACTTCGATTTTCACAGGACAATCTTTGCACTCTAATAAATCAGGTGGAACTGTAAAAACAGAGAATTTACTAATATTGCAGTGGATATTAATGCTCTTGGGAGCGTCCCTGTGCCTTTAATGTGAACTCATAATGAGAAAGTGGAATGCAGCATTTCTTTGGAAGTGAAATACCTGTCCCTCACTCCACAAATATGGATTTGTCATGTAACATGAAAAAAAACCAAACCCATGAAAATGAATATTCTTATAAATCTTTTAGCTACACCTTAGAATCTTACCACCCTAGATGGGCATTCTTTCCAAGTTTACATTTGTTCTGATATTCATTATGATGTTTTGGTGGACTGGAATGGTGATATCATCTGACATCAATAAAGTCTGGTTTAGAAGAGTAGGGTAACCTTAATTCTATTACTCATTCTTAACATTCCATTTGAATTATCTCAAATATGAATTGCAAGCAGATGAATGAATCTGTTACGGTTACCATACACTAGTGGTGCACAGGCTGTGGTACTAGGGCTGGTTTGAGGTATGTGTTGGCTTACAGCAGTGGTTATTTTACCTGGACTTAAGGTACAATTAAATCCATATAGTTGAGGTTTCTTCAGCAGATGGTTCGTATATGTGATAATCTTACATTGCCCAAAGTCCTGAGAGGAAAAAAGAATACATGATTATGATGTTATTTTCACTGGATTTAATTGGATGTAGGCGATCATAGAAATTATACCTGCTTTTAATGTGCGGTACCTCCAAGAATAACAGATGTGGTCATTAATGGAATGTTTGATCTGGTACCACTCAAAATTTGTCTTCAGATAAAATGGGATCTCCCTTTACAAGAGCCTTTATTTTAATTCTCAGAGTGCATGACTGAGTAGACAATGGAAAACTGAACCAGCCTTCTCAGCCATCCTAATACTTATTTACAGTAAGATAATACTAGTTACCAGGGGAGGTTAGAATGTCAGGCTCATAAATCTTTATCAAAAGGTGGATGGACCTTTTCTTCCATTCCTTTTCCCCATCTTAAGAAAAAGAGTAAATGCCTTCTCTCCTCATGGCCTCCCTGCTCTGTCTTTTGTTGTAGTAACACAACTCTCCTATTTAAATAAAGTTTTGGACTGGGAGTTCTCATCCCAGACTGCCTCATTGGACTAGAAAAAAAGAAAGGGCAAGTGTTGCTGTATGTCATTCGTGTACTGACACTACCAATATTTCACATTGTCATACCACAAATGCTATGACAGAAAACTGACAAAATACACCGCTGGTATTTCTGGCTCATATACTAGGAACATGCTTAAAAAATAATTTCCAGTGCCCTTTAGTTGTCAGCAAATTACCCTTAAAACATAAGTTCTGCTACAAGCAGTGGAATGTGGAGGATAGTTCCTTTGAGACTACTAGTTAAATAAAGCTACACTTATTTGAAGAGTCAACCCCTTTCCAAGCCTTTAGCTTATGTTTAACAACTCTAGAATTAAATATATTTTATTTTAGAATAAGCCATATTAAAGCTCAGTCTTCACTTAGAGATTTTGTGACACAAATTTCTGGGCAGTTCAGATGAAGATGAAGTTAATGCATTATTGGTGTCTGACTCGGTGTGGGTACCATTACTTGCCATGGAATACGTGTCACTGTATTCGCAGGACTCCCAGTGTTTTCTGGATAAGACAGGGCATTCGGTTTCCAGCACATCCAAAGTTAGGTAGAGGACTGATGAATTTCCCTGGAAGAGACGTGTGAGTAAAAAAGAGTTTGTAGACAAGAAGTTTGATCTGAAAGAAATTTTTTTAAGGTTGATACGTTTAATCTTTAATGAAGCTTCTCCAGTTCTCTAGTAAGGTTTTTCTGAGCTGACAAGTGTAGAAAGGGTTCAGGCTGGAAGGGAGCTTTGGAGGTCATCTTGCCCAGCCACTTGCTCAAGGCAGAGCTAAAACTTCAAAGTTTCAGCTGCATTCTGTGTATCACCAAGACAGACGTTCCACAACCTCTCTGGGCCATTCCAGTACTTAACCATTTTCTCCATGATTTTTTTTTAGTCTTATATCTATTCAGAATTTCCCTTCCTGCGACTGTAACTGTTGCCTCTTATCCTCTTGTTGAGACCTTGTGAGAAGAGTCTGTTGTTCACCTGGCATTCATCAAGTAGGGAAAATGTCAGTGTTAAAAAGTTGCCATTCCCTCTTTCTGATTTTCACATAGAACACTGTTCTATTAGGACATCAGTTGTGTAGGCAGCCAATTATGTAGCTACATCCATTTCGAATTACTTCAGTGATCAGATACTCTTTCAGAACTTTGCTTCCTGATCAGTTTATTCAAGGAGTGATGCAACAAAGCTGTAATAATCCCTACAAAGTCAGGAGCCTTAGCTCTGAAATTCTTCTAGTATATTCTATCTCCTGAGTGAATAGGATGAAGAATTAAAATTTGAATTTGGCTGCCAGTGTAATGGGATGTGGTGCTAAGAATTTTTTGTGGCCCACAGAAGCAGTTTTTTATTTTTCTGCAGGGGAATGAATCTTAATTCACATTTGGAATGAATTATTTAAGCTTCATTCAGCCCTTGTATGGACATTCAGAATGAACACATACGTATTTTATTTTGTCATTTAGATAAAATCATGCAAAGCCCTTCACTGTGAATAAATGTCCTCAGGATTTATGAGGTTTCATCCATTCAGGTTCCTTTTTCAGTGTTTCTGTATAGACGAGACCTTGAGAAAGAATTGCTGCAGTCTAGTGTGATATTTTTAATAATGAGAGTTCACCAGTGTCATGTTAAACACTAGTTTTGCAGTATACATATATCTTACTGTTGTCTCTAATTTTAAAATAGAGGTTAGGTGGATTGGACAAAGACATATGTTGTTCAATGGCAGAATTGGGAAAAGAATAAAATTGTCCTGGACACATATCCTGCCCACTAGCTACATGTTTATTCTCTGCTTAGGGGTAGTTAGTACTTCTATTTTATTTTATAAATCTCAATAATTTCAAACTGCTTGTCAACATATTGTTAAAATTCAGACAGAGAACAGAGACAGTGAGAAACACTATTTTCTGATTAGTGTTTGTGGAATTGCACTAAACAGAAAGGTAAGATAGTTAAGACAGTCTTTTGTGAAACGTGCTGTTCACTAGGAATCCTCTAAAACTGAAATGACTAAATATGTGATGCACTTCGTCGTCCAAACTTGTGAAATGCTGAAAAAGCCAGTTCATCCCTGGCAAATACTTATTTTCTTCAGCAGAAAGCATTTGGATTCACTAAAGCCTAAAGCAGATCTTGGGTAACATTAAATCTCTACCTCCAAATATACAGTAGAAAATTCCTCTGTTCATCTGCTGGATAGCTCTTGGGGGGAAAAGAAAAATTCTTACATGGTGCCTTCTTGGTTGTTTTAAAAGCATCTCGGGCACTACACAGGCCTAGAACTGTTCTGTTGTAGATACTTGAGTATCTTATGCTTCTAGAACTCCCATGTAAACCTAGTACAGATCTGGCTGCTGGGAATTGTTCTGCTTAGGTTTTTGAGAGGGCTGATGTGATAGACCTGATGCACACTATTGCATGGACATAAGAAAAATAATGTTTTGGTCTTTTATAAATACATATACATATTTTTATATATATATATATATATATATATTTAATATCATCTTGGCAATGGAGCCAACAAAAGTTCCTGTACAATAGTGTACATGAGCAGTGTGCAGGAAACACATCTAGTGGCTTTGGGTCTGAGAACATACAGAGACGTTACGGGGAGAATTCTTTAGCAGTCAGGTAGATAGAAGGGTCTTTTCTGTTCTTGTAGACTCTATGTGACAGCTGAAGCTGTGGCCCTGGACTACAAAGACAGCAAAATTCAGTAAGTGTATGAAAGCAACACATAAGCATGGTAGTCCAATGGTTATAGCATTCATCTGGAAGCGTGAATCCTCAGTGCTGGTCCCTGTTCCAAGTTATGATTCCAGGGTTTATATAGTCAATAATTGCTTAAAATGTAGAAACGCTGAGATTTTTCTGTTTAGAAACAACTGTGGGTTTTGTCATTTATCCAATGAATTTTGCATGTCTTACTGCCCAGTAGCTCCACTTCACAGGAGTGGCACACACATTGCTGCATGGCAGCAGCATTCTTCAGGGACAGGAGACTTGAGGATTGAAATCTCTTAATGCAGAACTTAATGCACTGATTCCTTCCTAGGTGAGCACTTTAACTGCCTGGCTACTGCATAAAACTCAGTGCTATCACTTGCCACATCCTTGTCTTTGAAAAGCAAAATAGTCCGTCAGGTTTTTTGAAATTATACCTGAAGACCTGTGGTAACCTTTGTTCTGGGTCACTTCCTGAGCTTTACTTGTCCTAACAGGCAATATTAAGCAGTTTCATCAAAAACTAGCCTGTTTTTCCTTTTGCCATGCTGAGATGTGTAACACACTTCTGAAACACTGTGTCTGGATGCAACTTCTTTGCCAAGCAGCCAAAGGGTACCACGTGCATTAGTAAATCTGCCTGTCCTGGTCTCTTTTACATACTAGTTAAAGAAATTTTTGTATTCTGTTGCTTTTTCCACTATCAATTTGTTCTGGCACTTAGGCAATCATTGAGAAAGGCTTATGTGTCCTCTTCTAGGAAGCAGAAATAGAAATAGGAAGGAAAAAAGGAAATGACTGCTATGGATTCTCTATCCAGCCCCTTCCCTGTTTTGCAGAGTGGCAACTCCTTTGGCTTTCTCTGCCTTTTTCCCTTCCTGCCAGTTAACCAACTATCTCCAAAATGAAGATAATAACAAAATACTAATCTTGCAGGATACATTGGTCTAGTTAATGTTAGACATTCACGGTTTAAAGAAACCTTCCCAATATAACTTTTGAGTATAACATCTGAGACTTGACAACAGACAGGACAGGTTAATTTCCAGTGTTGTATAAAGCTGTTCAGAGCAACTCTTATGCCAACATCCTGCTGGCCAAGAGAATAGAGGGCATTCAGGATCGTTTGAAATCAAGTTTACGTGCAATAAATCATGCACAAATGAGTACTGAGGTAGTGTAAATCACAGCTAATTCATTGAATTACATCAACATTAAAAGCAATAAACATAAGCTTTTAATGACCTGGCTCATTATTTAAAAATCACAATCTTGCGTAAATCAGCCTTTAAATTGATACTTACTGTATGTAGTTCATGTGCATCAGCAACACGGAATAAACCAAAAACATAACCATCTCTGCGGTGTTTGTTGACCAAATCCAGGGCCACTCCTGCATCTGTTTCAATGGTGTTACAGTCTGCAGGTGTAAAGCTTGCTTTGTTTTGGGCATTAGAACACTGCAGTAGTGTTAGAAAAAAAGCTGAAGCTAGAAGCAGCATTTTGTTTGCAGTTTTAGGTCACTTCTGCCCATGCCCTGATAAAGCCAGCAATCTGCTTTCAAATCAGAACAGTCCACCAAAGTTATGAATGCTAAAAGGGCATGGTTTTATATAAATTTAAGTGTCATGTCAGACAGTCATTGCCTTGACCCTGGATTAACATTTGCAAACAGCAAGTAAATGATTATATAGTGATTTAGCAGATTTAGAGGAAAGTGTGCTTTATAATACTCTCTGGACTACTCATCAAAGGGTCTGTTTGTGATTCTTTATGCAGGCATTGTGCAATAATGCTTTACTAAGAAAAGTACCTACAGGGTGCTGCTAAGCCTGGCAGTAAGAAGGTCCAACTTATGTGTGCAGGTATTAAATAATCTTGCTCTTCTGTTTACTGTTAAAACAGTTGAACTGAAAATATGCTGAGATATTTGTGGTCAAATTATGGTTCTGTCCTTATCCTTGTTTTTACAGATCCTTACCTAGCAGGGAACTAGTGAAAGGGAAACAAGGGAATCACCCAGAGCTGGAAAAGGGATAGAGGTCAAAGTGCACTCACAGGCTGATGGTCTGTAGCTTCTTTGTGAATACCTGCTACTCTTCCAGCTCAAGAAAATTTAGAGCAGACTTCTATCAGCTTTACATCATTTCAGACTGGAACACAGGAAGGGACTGACTGGCTTAATACCCATGTAATCTAGGCATGGCATGAAGTGATATAAAGCTGCCTTTGCATTCTCAGTCTGAGCAGTTTTGTGTGCTCTTTGGCTGTAGTAGCCTTCATAGACTTCTTTAGAGAATTGCTGGTTGTTTTTTTTTTATTTATTAAAATAATGCATTACAATATTATGATTCATACCTTTCACAGCATACACCAGTATCCTCTGCTATGCAGAAAGAAGGAGGTGCTGTCTCATTGTACTCAAAATCTTTTATTCAGGATAGTTTAAGACATCAGTAATTGCTTGTCAGGGAGTGGCTGAAGATGGAATGCAAAATTCAAACACTGAATAAGAAAATACAAAAATTCAATGTGAGTCCAAAATGACAAGGTCAGACTCAGATGAGGAATTTTCCATATCCTGGTTGATGTGAAGGTTGGATTAGCTTCTCACAGAAGAAGGTGCTAGCTGTATAATTGGCTTGGGGGCTGGAAGCTGGATGATCTTTAAGGTCCCTTCCAACTCAAACCATTCTGTGATTCTGTGACTTGGGTTTACATATTTGACCTTGAAGGGTTTTTTTACTTACTGTTTGAGAAACACTCAGAAATATAATGGGTAATCATCCTTGACCATTACCTCATTTCATTAACCCTTATTTTAAAAAATTCCACCTTTTAGCGTGTCTGGTGTCTAGGAAATCATATTTTAAAATGCATTGAGCTGAAGCAGTGGATTTCTTTTATAGTTAGTTCAGGACACAGTTAACAGTTCTCTGGTAGTAGATAAGCTAAATAGAGCATCTTACAATATTAGAACCAGGGGCACTTAAAACTAGCATGAGGCAGCTGAAAATGGATAAAAATAGTCCCCCCACAATGGGTAGTGAACTTGTGGAACTTGTCACAGAAAGATCTGGAGGCAGACACAATCAGCAGGGGCAGAAATTGCTTAGGATAGTCCATTGGCAGCTGGTCATTCCATGGATCCTAGAAGTACTAAGCAGAAAAGTCCTCTTTAAAGTCCCAGGTACGATGATTCTGGGTACTGGAAGAGTTCAAGGGGAATGGTTTACAAAGAGGGGCAGGTTGTGTGTTTCTCCTAACCACAGTTGTCTTTTGCCACTGTGAGAGATGAATACTGGGGTGGATGTACCACTGTTCTAATGAAATAGGGCATTTCTTTTGGTTTTGTTTTTATAAAGTTCCATTAGAGTAATTCAGAATCTCTTCTGGAAGATGGCAAAAAAGCAGTGAAATAAGTGTTGTCTAAATAATCAGAGACATTTGAAATACATCTCATCAGTTAAAAATAATACTCACATCACTGCTGTGTTCCAAATTGCACCTCAATTCATTTATTACAATAGTGGTTAATTTTTTCAAATGGGCAGTCATACTGAAGAAAGGCATTGGATTAGATAATTCATAACATAATTCCCTTAGCTGTCTGTTGTTTGCAGATTGTTTGTTCTTTTTTTCCTCTTTTGTTCTGGGCTGTTCATTGTGACACTGATCATTTTCTTGACAGTAGCTTATGTATGTTTTAAATATAAAATAGAAACAGTCTGAATAAACAGTGGAAAATGTACAATTCCTGCAAAACTGACTGTAGAAGTAAAGTAAGATTCTGTTCCCACTCTAGAGAGTTTTGTCCTTGATTTCTTTGGAAAAGAAAGATTGGGCTCTATTATTAAAGCACTGCATGGACAAGCACTCCAGGCACAGTAAGAGCAGTTAATTAAATATTGGTTGTATTTAAGTCAGTATAATGTATTTTTATCACTTCTCCTCCAGTTTGGTATCTTTTTAAAAACTTATTTTGTTTTTATATATACTACTTTTAAGTTTTCTCTTTTGCTTTAATGAAGCCATCTCTGTAAACAGATTGCTGGAAGGAATAGGAAGTTTTATCCAAACATGGCATTTCTCATGAGTAGCTTATCAAAACCTTGTTTATGACTTTTACCAAGGCTTGACTTGCAACACTAAGAGGTGATCCACATTCAGACCTTAAGGATATGGTAATAAACATCCATCCTAACCCTCTCCAGAGATCTGGGAGAATACATCAAAAAGAGGCTTATCTTCCCCACTTGAAAAACAGCATATGAAATGCTTAATAAATAGAACTTTATTCTAGGGGGATAGGAAAAGGAGAGCTGACACATAAAGGAGATAATATGCAATAACCAATTACTCTTTTGCTAAAGTACAGCCATAACTATTTACAGATATCCCTGATTTCTTAGGAGGACAGCTGCTATGAGCACTGTTCTCTGCCTTCTGCCGGAGCTCTGCTTTTAAAAATCTATTTGTTTGGCCAAGGATGAGTGTAGGAGAAGGGCAGCCAAGGAATCTAAACAAATACATAGCCAACATATGCATAAATAAGCCAGCAAATCTTCTTCAGTACCTTTTTAATATTACTGTTTGGTTTTGGGGTTTTTTTTGCATCCATGACGCCTCACCTATACTCCAAGGTAACGCCTATCTGATAAAAATGTCAATAGTCCTGGAGGTCATTGACCATTGGTTATCTGTACCTCAATAAAAAACACTGTCCATGTAAAACTGGAATGTTGTGAAATACATATCAGACCAGACTTAAGCTGGACATTGCCCAGATAGCAAGATATTAATGCATGATATAATATCATAAGATCAATAAGTGTTGAAAAACTGTGAAACAAAATTGAAAAGCGAATAGAGAATTCCACCCTCTTCTCATCTCCAGTGACTCCATGGAGGGCTTCCTGGTGTTACTGGCCTGTTCTCTGCTGGACAAGGAGAAGCAGCACTTAACAATTCAGTCCTGGGAGAAGAGAGAGCCTTTGGGGTGTGACTGGATGGACATAGGTGTTACTGCCACTGCTTTGCTCAGATTGGCTTGAAGCTGAGACCAGGCCAGAAGATGGAGAGGTTTGGCACTACCTGGGCATGTTTTTAAGAGGACTTGCTGCAGTGCTGTCTCATAGTCAAGGTGTGGAGACCAGACACAGAGCACCCTGTGCCCTTATCTGCCCATGTGGGTGTGCTGGAGGGAGAACACTGCAGTGCTGCCCCGCTCACAGATGGGCATAAATCTGCTGAATCAGCAGCAGGATTTGAAGTCATGATGACTAAACATTACCAGCTGTTAATAATATCAGTGCCATATGGGACTGCCGCAGCATCCAGGTATATGTCCTGAGGACAAAGGAAACACAGAAACTGTACAAGTCCGGTCTCCTACTTGCACTTCAAGAATTTAATCTTGGACATCAGTACCAGGACTCAATTATGGTAAACATTGGCAGTGGCCTCAGTGGCATTGAAACTGGGTAGGGGACTCTGTGCTGGACCAGCCACAGCAAATAAAGGCCAAATAACGATCATGACTCTGCACTGACCACTGGTACTTTGTTGATCTGCACTGGGGATACAGTTACTGCTCAGATAAACACACCTTCTGGTGTTGATTTTTAGATCAGAGAAGTCTTTGAACCCAAATTCCATATCTGAGCTAGAGAAAATATTGATTCAAATGTCATTTCTGAGCCTCATCTGAAGAACAAGCTACACAGTATCCAAATGGAATGCTCAAAACTGTGGATCCAGACTTTCTGATATCCCCTGTAACTCCCCCTGCTTATGTTCACACAGTTGTGCTCCAGTTGTGTATGTTCATATAAGCCTCAGTAGTGTCATTAAGCTGATGGAGCCTCACTGAGATTAGAATCAACATGCAAACAGTTAATAAAAAGGACCGTGTTCTGAAACAGCAGAAATGGGAAGTGTGGTGAAAAGAGGGGAAAAACCAGCATTTTGAAAATCCCTGGAGTGTGACAGGCTGTTGCCCCAATGCCCTGCCCTCTGGTGCACCAGAGCCAGCTGTGGGTGCTCTGTGCAAGGACAAGGAGCAATGCCTGGTACCCCCAATTTTGGAAGGTGGCAAATCAGTGATTCCTGTGCTAGGAGGTAGAACACACTGGTCATGTTAGAGAAACCTGAGCTGGAAAAGGTGAAACTTCCCAAGGGAAAAACAAGGTGCTGTAATTCGATGGCTTGATAAACAGGGGAATGCTGACACAGCCTAGAGCTCCAACTGCAATAAGAATTGGATAGAATTTGAATTTTAGGGTTTTTGGAGAACTACCCGATTTGGAATGTATTTCTATTATGAAATGAATGAAATCAAAATATATTGAAATTTTTCATGATGTGGGATTGAAATGGAGTAATTTTGGCTCGGTCAATATGTTTCACACTTCACTTTTTGTCTTATTTTAATCTTTAAAGCAATTAGATTACTCCTTTATATCAAATTTATGTTTATAAGAGATTTGCAAGCTGAAAAAGCAAATATTGTTGCTGTGAATATAACTCCATACAATATTTCAATATTATTTTTTCCTCACTCAAAGTAAAATAATACTTTTCTTTATATCTTATTTATAGTAATAAAATAATACATTTTAATTGAATTGCATAGTGCCAGGATACTTTGACAAAACCATAATTTTTTGTTGAAAGGCTCTTTAAATGGGGAAATTATGCAGGATCTCTAGGGATGATAGAGTATCATAAAAGCTTCAGAAACAATAATATTTTATTGATTTTGTTTTGAACAAATGGTTTTACAGATCTAGTGGCAACTAGAGAAAGGCTCTGTGGTCTCACACGAGCCCCATAATTATTGCAAATATCGGTGTACTCCTGGCCACAAATTACATTTTTTTCTTATGTTCATTCTTTTTCTTCTTCTTGTCTTCTCGTTTATTTATATTTGTTATTGTCAGTACGGTTACTATGTCTGACTTCAGTGAAATTGATTTTTCTTAGCTACAGGCTGTGGAGTGTCCCTGTGGTTTTTATTATAAAGCAGTTAATATGACCTATCTCAAGAAAGAATTAGGCTGATTTTGTAAATCATCTTTTTTTCTGCACAGCAGGGTCGGTAAAGCATAAGAATCTGAGTAGCCTGGGCTCGATTCTCCAGCAGCCAGAACTACATGCAGAGCTTTCACGTGTGGGTAGCCTTTTCCATGTGCTTTAAGTGAGGGTGTAAAGCATTAGGAAAATAATAATCTTTCTTGAGATCTTCCACGGAAAATAAAAGTATAGGCTAAGCTCATCACATTAGAAATAAGAAGTTAACCCACGGAATAACAAAACCTCTCACTGGTGTGACTCTCTAAGGGCCCTGAGAGCATCCCCCCTCCAGGAGGGTTGGCTGCCGGGGCTCCGGGCTCAGCACAGGCCGTTCCCCTGGTGACCCTCTGAACCCTTGGTGCTGCCGGGCAGTGCTGGGGGAGGCCACGGCCAGGGCTGACCCAACCTGGCTTCCCTCCGGAGCTGCTTTAAGATGAGGTGCAGCATTTTGGCCCCTGCCTGAGCTCCAGCTCCTGTGGCAGCACAGCTGTGCTGTGCCTGGCCATGGACCCTGTAGATCCGGACCTGCAGCCTGTTTTCCTCAGACCTGTCAGGTCACTGTGAACTTGCTTGGAGACCGGTGGGCTGTGTCTGACTCTGGCTACTGTAACCAGGCCATGCCTTCCTAAGTCACGTTCCTGACTTAAATTCAGACCTGCCTCATCACCCCGAACTTACACAGTGATCTGGCTTCCTCCTATAACCTGACTTCCATCCCCGAGTCTGCCCTGCTCGCCTGCTCAGGCACCACACGACAGGCCCTGCCCTGCCAGCCTGGTTGTCACCCTCAGTTTTGTCTCACCATCCCTTGGGAAGCTGCCATCCCACACTGGGCCCTGACAGACTCTTGCTACTGAGGATATTTTTTTTCTGATGCCTTTGGGCTGTCTCAGCCCTGCAAGTTCTTTTACCCTCCACAGTTACCTTTCCTTCATCCTCTTCCTGATGGGAGGCATTTGAGAATTAGAAGACAAATACTTTTGTTGGAAAATGCCTCAGCTAAATTTCTTTTTCTAATCTATTCTTGTGCTTTCTTAAAACTGAGAACTCCGAAGATGAAGACTGTGATAAGCAATTTATTTACTTGAAGATGTTACACAATTGCAAGACTGGGTTGCCATGGTGGCTGTTATTTTGTTACAGATAGCTGAGGTGGTTGGATGCTGGCTAGACTGTGGTAGGCTTTCTAGTTATCAAAGGATGAAGGATGCCATCCATCTGCTTTGCTTCTCCTGGGCACGAGTCTGATAGAGAAAGTTCTTCAGGAAAAGGGAGAATAACTGGTCCAGTGACTGGTTTGGTCAAGTCTGGTTTGTTTACTTGAGTCTTTTCTCCATCAAAACTGGGTGTAGGTCCTACAGCCTTAGGTGGAACTGGCTTTCCATCTTTATGTCCATTTTGACTTTCTCTTAGGCTAAAGAAACTGATGTCCTCATCTGAAGGGGGTAGAATTTTGACCCAGCCCACTGTTTTTTCTAGGTGTGGGGAGAAAGGATCTTCTGAATGGGAAGCTTGTTGATTCTGGCTGGATTTTTCAGGTGTCTGATTAGCTTCCTGTTTCTCCTCTTCAGTGGCAGGACCCTAAATAGCAAGGAATAAACATTATCTATATGGAAGTTCTTCCAAATTCTTTTAGATATGATCACCCATCACACTAAGGATCTGCTGCAATTCCAGTCTGTCAAGACCAGCTACTGAACAGAAGGTCAAAAGATAGACAGATATAAATACTTCTTGTACCAGGGGAGATGGGTGCATGAAACTTGGGTAACTACAGTTATTGCCCCTTGCATTCCCTTCGTGATTTGCAAGTTCTTTGTAGAGCATTCTGAACACATTCTGTATGATTGTCTCTATACTTACTCTATTGCCTTTTATCCCCCTAACAGCAGTCTGTTTGATCACAAGACAGATTTCTTCCTGATCTGGCCTTATCACTTCCTTGAAGCACATCTCTTTGCGGATAAGAAAACTTAAAAATGGGCTTTCAAATGTTCAATACTTGTTTTGCAAAGGAGTATTACTCTTGCAGTATTAACATTAGATTAAGAAATACCTGCGGACTGTAGATTTCACAGGATATTGTGACAAACTTTTCCATGCGACTGTTTACTACAGAGCCTTCGCAGAATCCAATTTGCTGGAAGAAGAAAATAGAACCATTTTTTCACATTGTAGCATTGATACTAAGCTCCTGTCTTGTAAAGCTAGTGATTATGAAAGACTGAATAGTTATAGCTTCTAAGTGTATTTGTAGGGATAAACAGCTTGGGCAAACTTTTATTTTGGGATTGGCAATCTTACAAAGGCAGGCAGCATTTTGAAAAAGGCTTTGTGTTTGCAAAGGAGGGTTAGGTAACACAATAGTAAAAATAAGCTGGCCACTTAAGGCCAAACTACAACAGCTTGCTTATGTTCTGCTGCAGCAAAATATCCCTATGCAGGCAAGTTGTGTATGGAACATAATATCATTTTCCACATAAAACCAATTTCACACCATACTAGTGAAAGAAACCATGAAAAAAATGTTGTTTCTAGTAGTTGTGTTTGTACTGGGCTGTACATGGCTTGGATCTCAGTTAAGATGGGGCTTGAAATGTTATCTCTTGACAACATGCCCATTTAGTCTTCCAGATTCTCATAGAATTTTTTCCTTAGTTCCTAAGCGCTTTCCTTAGCTGACCTAATTGTGGTATGAATATACTCCTCATGCGTTGTTTGTGATTTATTGTCTCTGTCTGTTTTCTTGGAATAAATTCTTAAGAGTCATTCAATTTTGTAAGGGGATGGCTACCTCACCTTCCTCTGGATGGTATTTTTTTTCTCTTTTCTTTGTTCAGGGATTTCTAGGTCAGAATTCAGAACTTTTACTGAAATGTTTTCTCTATTTGAAAGCAGTCTGTAGAATTGCAAGACAGGAATGAGCTACAATCCATAAAAAGATGTCTGTGGGTTTTGGTTCTTGTCTGCAAAGAGCCAAGGAAATATATACTAAGTATTCACTGAGGAATCATAGTATCTGGAAAGCAGGTGTTTATACAAGGAAAAAAAGTACTTACAGCTACTTCCGATGGAAGTGGCTCACACTTGACGTCAGCAACCGTGTCCTTTTTGGAGCAGGATGTCTCCTGAATTAAAAACTCTACAAAATACGCAGGACCAATGACCCACTGTAAACGAGAGGCCAGTGGCAGTCAGACCTTGTGCACATGTCAGGAAGAATGAAGAATTCTACTAACCTTGAAATAGATATGAAACTCCTAAGTCTGGAAGGAGCAGGTTCTGCTTGGGGCATTACTGTTAGCTGTGTTACAGGAGAATATTTTTTATTTGCCAGTGCTGCTGTGTTGCCTCGTCATTTTTTACTTCTTATATATGCACAATCTTAGTAACTCATGGATTAGCTATAGCTGAAATGAATTTGGTTTTCATCATAAATTTAGCATCCACGTAGAATTACATATCCAAATACCTTCTTCAGTGCTTTGTTGATAATTTCTGTCTGTTTTAATGAACAGAATCGGTTTACTATTTCTGAAATCAGGGTTGGAAAATGGAAGCTATGAAATTATGTATTGTAGTAATATGTATGTAATGTATTGTAGTAATATCTGACAATTTGAGACAAAGAAGGAAAGCTGCTTTGTTATCTATACATGATGAATTTTAGAGAGACCAGATAATAATGTGGCAAACAAACAGGGCTTAGCCATGAGATCATTAACTCTCTGTTAGTCTAAAATTAGTTTTAAACCATGCTCAGACTCATTCAGTGAATGTGTTTGGAAGGAATGACTGTGCTTTATTAAATAATTTCTAGTAGGGAGTCGCTAATTCGTGGTGGTGAAAGAAGAAAGGGCTCACAGTGAAGCTTTCCTGAACTTTGGAAGCATATCTTTGTCTTGAGTTTTGCATAAAGCCTTTCTATTTGCAATAAATGGAATCAAAGTCTTGACTCAAGAAGATCAGGAGAATTTTGCATAAAAGTATTCTCTCTACTATACAGATACAAAATCAAAACAGTCTGTAAGACGTAACAAATCATAGAACAGGAGGATCCACACTTCTTGAGGGCTAAAACAAGTCAGATGAGCCTTGGCTTACCTGCATTGAAGCTCTTGTGACATTGAGGACAGAGAAATAATGAGTTTGTTCACTCTCTTTGTTGAACTTGGCGAGACTTTGAACAGCAGCGTCCAAATATTCGGGCTTAGCTGGACTGTCATCAACTGGGCAGTCAGGACATACTGACCAAATATATCTGGATGGAACTTTTTATTCAAGAAAAAAATGTCATTAGAGAAGGCAGAACCATAAGAGTATGTTGATAGTGGAGGTCACTATAAATAGCCCTGCACCCCCAACCCTACCCACTTGTCCTCCACTCCCCTGGACTAACAATACATAGTTTTCATCCCTCAACAATTTTGAATCTTTATGCATTTGCAGACCCATAAAAATGTTGCAGTGGAGGCAGAGACACTGAAGGAAAAAGTTCAATCTATTGACAATGGGCTTGCTGTTTTTACTTGCCTTTCATAAACCCATAAAAATGCTTTTTGGTTCAGAGGGTAAATGCCTATATAAAGGCTCTGCTGGGTGTCCCAGAGGTTAAAATAGTTATTACTGAACTGCTCTGAGCTGCAGGACCTCACTGGCCTTATGATCACTGACTTGAGAAAATCAGGGCAGCTGAAGCTAATGGAGATAGAGTGGTGTCATAATTACAATTAAAATTTAAAGTAATGCTATTTGGCAGAGTGTTTTTCCTTTTCTAAAGAGCGTGTTAAAAACATACCTGGTTGTAAAGTGCACTCATAAGTATTCAGATGAGAAATATTTCTTTCCTGATTAATGTAGATAATTGCTTTGCATTGACCATAAACCTGAAACAACATAAACATTTAGAAACAATTAATGTTGCACCCTTTGCACTGATCGTGTAGTACCTAGACGGTGACTGGTTAATTTTCTTCTTGCAATCATGAAATTCTTTTCAAGACAAAAGTTTTGCTAATACTCAAATGACAATGAATCACATTTCTAAGCATCTCCTTTAGAAATAAAAGGACAGATTATTCCCTGGTGTAATTCTGAGCAATACAGGTGCAATGCTTGTCTGCAGGGTAGCCTACACAGGGCCACTCTTCTGGCAGCTGAGAAGTGCCCAAGTGTCACAGAGTGCTTTCCCTGGCCAGGCCCCCGCCCTGGGAGCCGGATCTATGTGTAGAACCAAGAGAGCTTAAACCTGGAGATCAGCTCAGGGTGTCTGGATCCAGTCCCCTGTCTTCCACCTTCCCCCTTTCCCACCATAAGGAAAGTGGAAGGAAGGACCCTAAATCGGTTTTATGGCACAGTAGGGTCACCCTTGCACACAAAAAACCTATGATTTTATGGCAGAAAAAATACTGGCCTATCCACTGTGCCTGTATATTTAAGAGCTTCTTAAATATTGCTACACATGTGATCAAGGCCTCTGAACATACATTTCTTGACACCACTGAAGTCATATCGACCACATAGGCTTTGCACCCTTTTCCTGATGAAAACTCTGTAATGAAAAGTGAGGAGAATTCTTTTTTTTCCCTTAGTTTTTCATTTAAAAGCTGAAACTGATTGACCTTTGAAGCAGTCCAGGACAATGTAATCATAACTTTATTGTCATTCTTCATTTTATAAGGTGGGTTTTCTTTACTTGTTCAGAATCATTTTGGTCACCTGCAGCAAGTGTCTTAGGCCACTTTCTGTCTTTGCAGCTTATCTTGCTGAGCTTTCCTTTTTCTCCTTTTTCAGTGCAATTTTTGCAAAGTTGTCAGAATAAAAGTGGAATTAAACTAAACCAAAAATCATATGTTATATAAAAGTGAGTTTCTTTTATTCCCTTCTTGACAGGCTGTCTTTAAAATAAACTCTTACAGGGTTGCTATAAAAAGTAAAACATTATTCTAAATAGTGTCCTAGCATGGCTATTTAGTTCAGTCTGCTTATTAGCTCTGGTTGAAAACTTTCTTTTAATTTTCATTTTCTAAAATAAATCTTAGCAGTCTATAAACTGATTAAAATGTACAGAGTAAAACTGTGGACCTTAAAAAATGGGGTTTGACTTCTTCTGAGCTCTGTTGCCCACTAAAAATGCATGTGTAGGGATTTTGCTGTCATTAGTAGTACCTGAGTAACTCATCACATCTGAGATCAAATAGGAAAATAAAATCCTTACAGTTGAGTGAGCAGGTCTGGTGTTACAGTTCTTCCACAATTTGTTGCTGAGTACATGGCATTCAGTATCTACTACATCCAAGATGAGATAGAAGACAGAACCAGTGATCTCCTGAAAACAAGAAACAAAAGGGTCACATCCCAGTTTTGTATCAAATAAAGCAGTGACATATAAAAGGGAGAGATGGAGAAAGAGAAAACATGAAGGTGAGATGCATAGATATCCTGAAAACTGAACATTCTGTGGGACAGAAGTGGCAAATCAGGTGACATTTAGGCCCTGTTAGGACAGGCTTGGTGATGCATCGAGTCAGCTTTAGTTAAAAACCAGCCATTTAGTCAGTTTTATCCTTCTAATTCTGGTACCAACCAGAACCCAAGAATAAGGACTAAACATGGTGATGTTTTCATTGTCAACTGCATTTTGTTATCAGATTTGAATGGTAGGTTACTTTGCCTGCAATAATAATGAGACAATAAATACTACAACTAATAAGAAACTCCTAACATGGAACATTCCCAGTAGGAATTAGAAAGAGAAATCTTATTTCTTAGAGTAGTGTCTTTTTCAAGTATGGATACTTTGCACTTTCTGTAAAGAGGTGATGGATTGTGTTGATGCAGACAGCTTAAATATTCTTTCAGCTCTCAGAGTGCTCTGAGAGACCTTGCATATCCACATAGGTGTCTCTGACTCACTTAAAGCTTCAGTCCTGTGCTTGACTTCTGAGCCTGTGATTAAGTCCAGAAACCTTTATTCAGTTCACTGCAGCACAGGGTGCACACAGCAGTTCAGGCTTAACTTTTGGGCAAACATCTTTTGATGCAAGAGGAAGGAAGGACGAAAAGTACAGCTCCACATATCCAGTGATTACACCATGTGGTGCAGGAGGATGAGATGCTGCATGGTGCAGCTCCTCATTCTGCTTCCACTGTAGATGTGGGTAAGCACCTTTGCTGCATATTTAGCAAGGATACAGCTTAGTAGGATCATGTTTTATTTATATCTTTAGTGGAAAGCTGGAAAGAGGGCAGCTGTCATTTATATATCCTAAAGAACTTAGAAGGGAGTGTTAGCTGCGTGTTTAGACTGAGATTGAGCACTTACTGAAAAGGGAGAAAAAACAAAACTGAATGAGAACAGTGTTCATTCATCCCTGACTGATTTCACTGGTTTGTGGAGAAAACATTAAATGGGACAAATCTTGTAGAAGTCTGGGCCAGTATCTTTGCAATTTTGGCTTTAATTTTCATTTCTGTTTAACTGTGACTAAAGACAAGTCAATAGGGCATCTAAAGGCTGGAGTACGGCTGGCTTTTTTGGTTTTATAGTTCTTAGAAAACTGCTAGGAGGTGTGTGTTCTGGAGTTCTGAGGAGATTGAGGGATAAAAACTATTCTGAACACATACTATAGAGATCTATGGGATGGTGATTTTATGTGAGTTCTAACATATATACTTGTAATACTAAATCCTTCCAATATAGAAGAGCAGAACTAATAGAAAATAAATATAAAGAATTATTAAATTGTTTTGTTATCTTTGTCTCTAACTTCTATTGTTACATATGCAACTTCTTATGTTTTCTATGATTTTTTTATTTTCATATCCTCTTTTTTTTTTTCTCTAAGTGTTCAATGAAGTAATCTGGTAATGTCTTGCACTGAGGTCTCAGGGTTTGCCCACACTAATCCTGAGGTTTAATTATAAGTGTCATTTTGAAGGCTGTGAAAAGATCAAAAGCTATTTTGACAAAGAGTGGTGCTGAGGTTCAGCAGCTCTGTGCACAGTGGCACGGCAGTATCCCCACACCTGGCTGCACAGACCCTTCTGTGGAAGGAACTAATCATAATTTTCTGTTTACATACAAGGTATCTAAATACCATGCTGATATGTCTCCTTAATATAATAGGTAATGTAGCTTGAATCAGTAAACAGAAAGTAAGACCTGTTAAGAAGTAATTACTGTTTGCTGAAAATGTGATTTTGAGTAATGTAGCATTTGGTACAAGCTTTTAACCTTAAATATATCCTCTGTGAGAGAAAAACACCACTATGACTATCCTGCATGAAGAAGAAATAGCCAAGAAAAATACATATCTTTAAGGAATCCAATAGCTGGAACTGGTGACTTGAGCTTTCAAGTTGGTCGTTAAGGTATTTGGAGGCAAAAGCACACAAACACCTCATTAAAGAAATGATCTTATCATTTGTGTTTGGTGTTAGATGGGTTTCCTGAGTCATGAATGTTGATTGTAAAGCTTGGTGACCTTGGAAACACTACATGCAACCAGGACAGAGCAAATGTATTTCTTGTTGCCCGTAGCTCTCTTGTATAATATCAGCTTTATATAAGCAGATGAGGTTATTATAAAATCTGCACATCTTTTGGTCTACCTGCTTCTGTATGTATCACACTCCACTGGGGAAAGGATAATTTGGGGCTTATTTAGAGCTCAGCAGATCACTGAAGGTTTAATCATCCTTATTTTAATTTTCATTAGAAGACCGTTATGCAAAGGCCTTTTGATATCTGCTTAGTATTGAATAAAGAACTTCTGTATCTTTTCTGCATTGCCAAAAAGATCCTTTCCTCAGCACTGCTGGTGCCAGGCTGCAATATGTGCTGGGCAGCCTGGGAGCCAGAGGAAATGCGGCAGCAGGGTGACCTGGTGCAAGGGAAAGAAATGAAATATTTTGGCATGTTTTGTAATTTTGGTTAAGTGCCTGTCAGTGAAGTTAATCATGAGTATCTTGTATGAAAGGAAGCTCTGTCCTACTTGCATATAAGTTCATAGCAGATGGCTCATTAGTTTCAATTAGAGCAAAACTCAACCACAGGTTGCTTAAGGGCAGAATTGAATTTGAAGTAACTTTGAAAATGTTTTTATCCTCAGTACTGGTTAAGAAGTGGGAGGAAGGACCACTGACTGGTAAAAATCCTGAGTATTTCTTTAGATTTTTGAGAGGAGTAGGAGGTGGCATAAGGCTGTTACTGTCTGTGAACCCCCCTGACATGGCAGACTGATCCTTAGGTACTCAGTTGGAGCAGCAGCAAAAATTAGATAAAGGGCTGAGATTGTCTGGTTTGTTATTGCAATGTCTTGAAACACCTTATTTGCAGGATAAGAGCATATTAGATGAAAAAAATAAGAAAGAATAAAAGTATATTAAGCCCCCAAATGAACAAAGGGTGCTTGCTCTAAAGCAGTAAGTTAAGTCTCTAGGAAATTAAGTGACAGACCAAATGACATACAAGGACCAAAATTCTCTTGTGCTGAGATATGCTTGGCACAGCTGAAGGAAGAGGCATGGAGATGAATGATTTACATGTCTGCACTCTGGGGTGGTCATAGCAGGGGGCTCTAATTATTATCAGTAGGAAATAGCCTGAGCAGGGGGGTCTGAGTACCAAACTGCATGACTGGTGATGTGGCTTCTGGGCCAGCTCAGAGGCAGCACATGTGGAAAAATTCTGAAGAGCCGTGATCCAGCTGCTTATTGGGCACAATCTGTCACCTGAGCAAAGCAACATGGAGAACTCAGTGCACAGCCCAGCACAGTGAGCATCTTTAGCTGTGAGATCTCAGGTTGCTGGAGGCCACAGCGTGTCTGCAGAAACCATGTCCTTGTAAGGGCAGCAGGAAGGAGTGTCATATCCTTGCCGGTACAGAGCTTTAAACATCTGGCAACGAGCCTGATTTTCATTAAGACTTCAGAACTTGGCCTTTTAGATAAGCTTATGGGAAGTGAGTAGGCATTGCAGGGAATGTTAGTAGCATGCTTCCACAGTGCATTATCTGTTGTGGGCCTTGTGAACTCATTTCAGGCTGTCCCTAGCTAGATCCAGTAGATTCAGATATTGTAACACAAAATAGTGATGAATTAAGCACACATAGAGAAATAAGATACTTGAGGAAATGTGAGTGATATTCTATAGGTAGTTGAAGTGTATTTTTTCACTTGAACTGGTTTCAGATTTCTTCTGGAGAGTGAGTCATCTTTTAGAGGTCTATAAAGGAATTCCATGGTCCCAAGCGGGATGTGTTTACACCTGTTAGTGCTTACATCTTTTGTGCAAAACACACGATGACTTAACAGCCTTTGCACTCCAACTGCTCAAGGCAGTGGGAAGAAGGTGTAAAATGAAATTAAATCAGAGGTAGTGGTGTTTCATATCAAATTTGAACTGATGCCTGGAGCTATTCCAGGGGCAGGCAGCAGAGAGCCATGACTGAGATTTGCTCTCTAATTGCCCACAGTGGTGATGAAACTGTTTCTAGTCATGTGTGCATAAAGTTGACATGGCCTCTAGAGTCCTGTGAATGGAACTTTATGTTTGCCTTTTAAAATATTTCTTAATTCAAATAGATATTTCTAAGCAATAGCGATAGACACAGGGCTCTCCATGGGAGAAACAGCTTCAGAGCAAGAGGGTAACTTACCTGAGGTTGTTCTCGAACGCTGGAAATTCGGTAGAGGCTGAGTATGTAGCCCTCTGCTCGGTCAGCATTGATCTGGCGAAGAGCCAGGTCTGCAGCCTCCTCTACTGCGGTGTCATCACAGCGGGGGGAGAGCAGCGCGGCCGCTGCTCCGCGGGCAGGAGGGGCGGCAGCGCAGGAACAAAGCGCCTGGATGCCAAAGAGCACCGGAACAAGCCAAACCATTCTGCTCAGAGAGCCGGTGCAGCAGATCAGAATGGTCAGTCAGGATGGAGGGGCTGAGACCTGACTGAAACCACACACTTCTGTAGTGGAGCCAAATCTCTTTATAAACTTTGCCTCCTTTTTATTACACACTGACCATCACCTTTAAACCTACAGCTGCAACAGCAAACACTAAGTCAATGATTACAAGGTTTTGCAGAAGTGTTGTCACCTTCTCTGAGACCAGACAGCACTTTCTCCTTTTGGCTTTCCATCTCCAATTCAGACTTCACTGGGCAGGTCATGCAACTTTGACCTTATGACAAGGGACAAGAATACACACACAAAGCTGCTTTCTTAAGAAACTAGATTTACTTAAATAAGCCTATATGCAGGACAGTCTGGCTCCATCTCTGTTCTGTCAGTGATCCAGTTCTTTTTGCAAATAAGACAATGACAAAGATCTCAGTAATTTGAACAGGAAATGGATAAGTCCCACAAGGTTGATTGATTTTGCCCTTTGCATTTGTTAAATGCCAATTATAAACAAATATATTGACTCTATTATATGCAGTCAGTTTGATTGTGATAGAAAGCTTGGTTTGGATTTATTCTGTGAGCATTTCTACTCAGCTGGATACCTACACATGAATGGTACCCTTAGAGGTATTGAGACCCCTCAAGGATCATGGAAAATTCTGCCTTGAAAAACTTTAGTTTGAAATGACAGCAGAGTGCCTTGTGAGTAACCTGTCAGGAACTCCATGCTGGAGACAAGGGGGAATAACTTTACAAGTGCCTGTTATCTTGAGGATCTGGAGAAGTGACAGCAACCATTACTTGAGGAGGATCCCAGTGAATGTCACGAAGGGGCAATTCTGGAAGCTTGGTTACCATTTCCCTGGCCCTCATTTTCTATCAGGGGACTCTGTGATCACAGCTGTCTGCTGGAGGACACCGAGTACCTTTTGGTTTGAGGGTTGTATGGAGTGAAGAAGGAAAAGTGCAAAGGAAGGGCATAATTGTCTCTAATACTACTGTAAAGGTTGATGTGGTTAAAAATGTATCTATTGTCACTTTTTTTACTAGTCCAGCAGTGTTCAGAGCATGTTCCTCTGTGAGACAGCAGAACCTGTCCCTGGGAATGTCCATAGAAACCTGGGAAGGATTGTACATGCCAGAAGACCTACAACAGCACTGGGACTGAAACTCTTCTAAGATTTGTTTTGGTGACAAAGGTGCAAAACACAGATAGCAGGACAGAAGGGGCACATGGCTGCCAAAATGAGCCCCCTCATATATTGCCAGTTGCTTTCCAAACTGAGGGTGAGGGATAATGCATGGACTGTAGCCCGGAGGGAAGGGATAGAAGGAGTGAATATTGAGAAACACTGCTGTAGCCATAGTACAGGAACAGCAGAAGCAGCAATGCAGACTCACTCACATTGTTCCTTGTGCCTGGGGATGCTTCCCCTGCGGCTAAAGGATAATAACTCATTTTCTTTATCCTTACAGTGCATGGCATTTCTATGGAGATGGGTGCCAGTTAGTACTGGCTGGGTCGGTGCTTCTTATAATAGGGAATTGTTATATCCCTGACTCTGTTCTTTGTATTCTTCCTCTGACTGGAAAGGAAAAAATTTCTCCGTTGAAGTAGCTGACCTCAAAACACGAACACATCTGGGAAATCTGAGCGTGTTCAGCCAAAGCAGCACATGAAGTACATATGCTTTTGCAAAACAGGGTTTGAAAAAGCTGAAAAACATTGTCAGCCAGCAATGCAGACCTGGCAAAACTGTTCATGCTGCATTTCAAGGGAGGAGGCATTTGTATTTTATGTATCTCCATTTCATAGTTCTCATTGCCCAGAGAATCTATTCTTAAATGCTGAATCTGTTACTAAGGTCCAAGTGCACGTATATGGGGCTATACTGGGGGGAGACAAAGTGATTCCTTCAAAGCAGTCATGGAAAATGGATCTGTAAGAGTGCAAATGTGTCTTTAAGAGGGCAAGCATTAAGGAGAAAGAAGATGAAGTGCAGCTACCAACTGGAATGCACAGAGAAATTCTACTTTTTTTTTTCTTCCTGTTTTAGAAAACAATGGAGTAGTTACACCAGGTGTAGGAGAACATCTGTGAAGTATGGAGGCCACAGATGTTTCTGCTACATTTCTTTGCTTTACATCAGTGGAAAAGGCAAGAAGAAAATGCAGCATTTCTGAAGTTCAGAGATCCTCATGGACAGGGATCCCTTTTGTAAACATACTGTTTCTACAGTTAGATAATTTTCCAAGCCTGGAAAACTGTCTTCTCTGTAAGTTAGTGCCTACTTCATTATATACAAGACAATTTTTATGATTTAGTTAAGGTGATCCCTAGTTTTAAAAAGTCCCATGCATCTGGCATTACAATAATGCAGATCATAATTGTTTCATTAAATCCTCTACTGCATCTCGTGCAGTGAGATGGGAGGACCACCTACCTTACTACATCAAGAAATGTCTACAGCTTAGTACAAGCACTTGTCGAGGGAATGGCAGAATGTCCTGGAGTCACTGCTTTACAGAGAAGCAAAAAATCCCTGAACAATTGACTGGCAGTGACTGGTGCAAATGCTGAAACGCTTCCTGCAAAACAGCCTTTGCTTGAAATGTGAGAGCTGCTGCCTTCATGGACAGAGCTTGTCCTCAGTGTGTTGCCATCACATTATATGGTTTATAGAGTTTGGGCTGATTTTCCTTTTTCTTTCCACACACCCAGCTGCAGTGCTGGTGCAAGTGCCTATGGCTTTTCCTTTCCCCAGTGACACAGCAACACAGAACCTTTCTGCATTGCAACCTGTTGCACTGTCACCAAGAGCAAATGTTAGTTGTGTTGCTTACTGAATACTGGAAGGTTGTAACTAGGAGAACAGGATAGGTTATTTGAAACACTTCAGAAATGACATGTGTTCTGCAATTTTTGCTGCCTGCATGATAATTATCTTGTAGCAAGTGCTGTTCCTGGTTAAAGATTCATGACTGTCTTTGAGACTGCTCCCCAGGGCCTGCAGAATTCCAGTCTGGCTGGCAGTAAAGATCCTTCTGGCCCTAACCCCTTATTAATTCTCTACCTAGAATAGATTTTGCCTCTAACATGTGCCAGAAATTCAGGAAAGATTTGACTGCTAGGACAATAATAAATTGCCATCACTGTCTGGATCCTGTTAGATGAGATACGTATCTGCAGTATAATTTTTATTCCCTTGAATTGGCATTTCCTCATATGCACACAGGCCATACAGGACCCCATGATCATACTACACCTGTGTGTCTGCTGGAAGACAGACAATACATATGTAGTTGACTGCAAGGATTGATGCTTTCAGCCTGCCAGCAATGAATGTGCCCTGATTCTCTGTTCTTTTCATAGACATGGATGCTCTTATACCATGTCCAAAAGTTTTGAGGTACTTCTGGTGGATACTAAAAGTAGGTACATGCTAGGAAACATTACAGGTGGAAAAGTACAGTTTTTCCTGCCACTGCTTTAGTGTTATTGGTGTGTGATCAAAAGAAAGGACTGACCTGATTTTCCACAGTGCTCAGCACCCACACATCCCAGTGAAGCTGATGAGAAGTGCAGGAGCTTACTGTTTTTGAAATCAAGCCCAGAATATGACTCATGATGCTGTGAAGGAGATACTTCACAACTAAATGAAAATATATACAGATAGAAGGTACCAAAGCATTGAACATTTTATTGTGAAGTAACATTTTGGGTAGTGTTTCTACAAAGCTACAACTGTTGTATAGCTCTTACAACAGTTTCATTGAAACAATATTTTCTGTATTTTAACTAGAGAATCCCAGTATATAGAGAAAACTACTGCTATATGTTGAAATCACCTATATTTTGGAGCAGGTCTTTGCAAGATTCTGGCCATGGCTCTGTTCTCTGGAGGGTGAAACTCATTTGGGCTCAGAGTCAAATGGTCTCACCTATTTGCACTTGATATTATGGTCTGTGTGTTGCTGTTGCTGCTGCACACTGATCCTTCAATCAGCTGTATTTCATGTCTGTAGCACAGCCTAGATATCGAAATGGCGAATCTTCCCAGGGCATGGAGGAGGAGGAGGAGGCACAAAACCAACTGGGCGAGGTACTTTGTCGTGCTGAGCAGCCACTGCAACTGCTCTCTTTGTTACAGGTTTTGCCGAGAGCATGGAACGAAACACTTCTGAAGAGCTGGATTCAGATGCAAGAGGGTTATGGTAGGAAATCCTGAGATCATGGTTGCTGACACCTACAGCACTGGGTGGCAGTCCTGCTGATGTATCTTGTCCTGCATGCACATAGGTAACTCCAGGCTGGAAAAGAAAAACAGTTTGTGTTTGCTTTCAGTGACCTGGGGCTTATGACATACAGGTCATTGATATCTTACTAGGTACCCTGTTCCTAACTAGCTATAGGCCTCCAACCCAGGTACAAATGTTCCTGACCATCACAGAAGTTTGATTTGGATTTGAACACATACACAGAAGCCCACAAACTCCTTTTTTTATAGCTGGTGGATCATTAGCACCAAAATCTGTGGTATATGAACTTCCCAGGGCCACCTGCACAGCTGTTGAAATACTCAAGACCGGCTGCCTCATGCTTTCTTTCATATACCTCCTAGACAGCTAACTACTATTGAGTTACTAACAGCTCTGGTCCGTAGCAAGCATTCAACCACCACCTAGTCCTTCTCAGAGCAAATGTAGACTAAAATACGTGGAGAGCACTCAGGTCGAGTGCATATGTTTCCCTCTCCTTGCTGTAGCAGTGCAGGTCAGTGTCCCTGAATTCAGTCATGCCTAAGGACTACTAAAAGCTCCCAGCTGATTTCATCCACCACAATACTCCTTTCTGTTTTACATTTATCTGCCTTACCCCTCTAGCTGAGCAGAGTTTGGTTCCCTTTGCCCTACTAGACATGTGAATCTCCCAGATGGTTAGAAGGACAAACTGTCAAACATGGATGGCAGAGCTGACATAATTCTAAGCACAGAAATCCATAGGATAGTCAGGAGCTATCTTACCTTGTTTTTTAGGATACAAAGTTAAACTCAGGTTATCAGAGAAAGCTAATGCAGTCTACAGTGAAAGAAGTAAACTCAAGGTGATGGCTCGTAACAGTACTAGTAGATTAGAATACTCTGGAAAGCAAGGAAATATCTGGAGTTGGTACCTGGTGTCCGTACAACTGGCAGTCCACGTGAAGGTTCTGTGAGGGAAGTTTTACCATTGTTCCTGTGCAGAAACCAAAATTCTGGCAAAGCAGAACATAGTCAAGAGAAAATAGTTAGAAAATAGAGGGGGCCTGCATTACAATTTTTAATTTCAGCACATTTAGAAATTGCTACATGTTGTCATGTCTTATCTGAGCAGTAAAGTGCTTGCTTTTTAGCCTACTGGGCTCAAAAGCCAAGCTCTTTAAATGGATAAGCAGCAAATAACTCCTGTATTCTTCTGGAGTAAGATCCTTTGAATGTCTGGATATGAGGGAGGGAAAGAATATATAAGAATCTAAGTAAAAAGCTCACACCCACTAAAACTGCTTAGGACTCAATTTCATCAGAAACAGAAGAATTTTAAGATGATAAAGTGTACAGTATAATTCTCAAGATCCTATATATGGGAAGAAAGCACATTGACAGCACTGGAACTGTAGGAAGGGGAAAGAGTCTGCTTTTTTTTTTTTTTACGTGTTTGTGTACTGTCCAGTATGAAGAGCCTGATTTTCTCAGGTGCTCATGTTAAGAAGAGTAAACAAAAATATGTATTTTGTTGATTAAAAATATTCTGTCTTAAGGACATTTTGGTCCTCAAGCCTTTTTCAAATATATTCAAATCCATCAGGATTCAGTCCAGATACCGCAGAGAGAAGAGAAAGGTGTGATATTGCTTTAGGAATGATATATTGAAAAGCATATCATGATGGTACACATCTCTTGCACTTTGATCCCCACAGGGGTCTATTCCTGCTCAAGTGCGAGCTCATCCCAGCATGATGCTGCTTTTCCACCTCTGAGTTGTTGGGATTGGGGCTGGTGCTGGCATACTCACAGACTGATCCTCAGGCAGCAGCTGACAAGCCCCCACATTAACTTTGGCTTCTTCTGCAGAGCAGTTCGTGGCACCCACAGCAAACTCAACAGCAACAACATGTGCTGGGTGATACTGATAAAACAGGAAAATTGTTTAAGTGACTTTGTGCTGTGAAACTGCAGAGCTGCAGAGAAAAGATAAAAGGCAAATGTTGTGTCTTCATCTCCTACTGGAGTGAGGGAATCCTGTGGCTAAAATGGCACAAAATACTTGGGAAATTAAGAGCAAATCTGTAGGGCAAATTAGAGCAAGCAAATTGAATCTTTTTGCAAACATGACTAGTTATCAGTGCACAGTTGCTGAAGATGAAATATTCTGTTTACGTGAAAGTCTAGACATAGTTCTAGTAATTACCTGTATTTTCCCTCTTCCAATCTCAAGGAGTCTGAGGTAAGGACCAGTGGTTTTGCTGTTGAAGTCATTGAGTGCAGCTGACACTGTTTCTAACACCTCAGTGTTGTTCAGACTTGCCAGCAGTGGACAGTCAGGGCAGATTTTGCTAATGTCTTCACTTGAGTCTGCAGGAGGAACCGAAGGGATTATGTTTTGATCAGATTGTAAATTCTTTTGAAAGGCATTATAGACCTATTCAGTCACACAAAACCCTGTTTCACCGTCTGTCCCAAATTACAGTGGCAGGAATTTTTGCAGTGCAGGCTACAGATGGCAGTGTGGCACATGACTTGGCCATTCAAATCTTTCTGCAAAGAAAAGTGCTGTGGACTTTAATAGCACATTTTGAATGTTCTTACTCAGTTTTTAGTAAATTTGCTTTCTGGCAAACTGTCTGTGACACCAGTAAAAAGGTGCTTCAGCTCACACTAGGAACGGTGGAAAAATTAAGATATTTCAATTTATTACAGTTGTGTTTGTGTGAGTGTGTAATTTCATTCAGTCACCAGTTTTGAAAGTAGTACACAAGACATCTCACACAGAGCAAAGAGATCTCATACCAAGCATGCAGAATAGACATTCTGCTTTCCCATGGCAGTATTGAAAATGCTGGGTTTAGTAAATAAGCTGCTTCTGCCAAAGGGGTTCTGACAATCAACAAGCTCAAGTAAACTCAGACCAACAAGGAATCAAATACCTGAGGTTAAACCCCTGAATGAAAAGATTCAGGACAAGCAATCTCTAGGTCAAATCTGGGACCTGCTGCCCACTTAGTCTTACAGTATCTTAATTGTTATAGTAAATGGTAATTCATTTTTCTGAATGAAATCAGAAAAGGGGGGGAAATGACATTCAAAACAGCTGCATTTAGAAAACTCATTAACTGTCATCCTTTATGCCATATTTATACCCAGAAGTTTGGAATGAAAAAAGCTACTGAACTGTAACCACTGCTATAATGATACTCCAGCCTCTGGATTCAAACCTACAGAACAAAGCCTTTACCTGCATGTGAGTGGCATTTGCTAGCGAGTACAGATATTGTCCCATCCAGCTTCTGCAGTTTAACATCACAGTCACCCTCAACTGCCTAGAGAGAGACAAAAATCAAAGGGTTACATTGTTCAGATAAATCAGATTTTCTGAAAAGGGCAACTAAATTCAAAAGAACAGATCCTGGCTGAGCATTCTGGCAATATTGGTCTGATTGCAAAGGCACTGCTAGGCGTGTTTGTGATTTTGTAAAAGGCAGATCAGAGCTACGAAATTCAGATCTAAATCTGGGTCTCAAAAGTATCAGAAGTGCCAGGGTAGCCAGATTATGGACATTTGGTACAGGTTCCTCTCTTATAAAGAGCAAAGAATATGAATAGTTATGAATTAAGACCTTCTGCAGAGCTGTTTGATAACATTCTCACTAATCTCAGCTGGTCAGTGGCCATGGTAACAGCAGAGTGTGCTGCCTTGTGTGAGCTGGCTCACACGCAACGTGATCCAGCAGGGAGGAGATGTCAAAGGCAAAGCTGGAGTCACCAGGAAGAGGGAACAGTCAGAGTTACCTCCCCCCAGATGGAAAATGGGATCTGAGCCCTGATGAATACAGGGGTGGACCATGATTCATATTTAGTGAGCTCTGTGAATTGGGCCCCATTCTAGAAACAGCAGGCTTAGACTGTTAGTTGCTCACTCTGCTTTCTGCTTAGAAACCAGAGCTGCCTGTACTCAGACAACACTTCCGCTGCTTTGGTCAGGGAAAGCTTCTCAAAGCTGGATCACACTTGCATGAGAACTAAGTATTTGAGGCCAGTAAATTCTGGCTGAGCATTACTTTGAAGGCAGAGCCCTATCTGAAGGGAATAGTTCTTCTGCAGTCTCAGCCAGGACTAGGTAGCTAGACTTGATGGAATTTCACTAGGTAACACCCCACATGTAGCCAAGGGATGGTTATATTTGCACAGGTTTACAACAATCTTTGGTTTGCAATGAGGCAGTGACATCTGGGCCAATAATGGGGGGCTGAATCTGAAGGCTCTAAAGAACCCCATGGCATTCATGGACTGTATGGGGGATGTTATGTTGACAGTGATCTGTCCTCTTCACGTAACAGGGCATAAAAGAAATTCAGGAGTGAAATCCTTTCATGGCATGAAGGCAAGGAAATCAGCAAGGAGATTACAGTGATACAACATTTGCCTGGGAATCTGATTGGTGATAGCCTGGCCTCTGGCATCAACATGCTGAACATGCACCTTTGGACCCAGCTAGTAGTGTTTAGGTACTCACATGTTCTGCGAAGCTCCGTACTGTGCAATTTGCAAGAGGTGTAGGGCTGAGAATAGGGCACGTGGTCTCTAATAAATCGAGTTCAAGAAATATGATGTCATTATTTGGCCCCTGGAAGAAAAAAAAATAACAAAACACAGGAATTGTTGTAATTACTTCGCAAAACATCACCAGATTTCTTCCCTGGGGCTGCACTGGGGTCTCTGTTGCTGACTGTCGTGGGTAGCTCCAAGCATACACTGGAGTAACTGAAAAGGTCCTTAATATTTAAGTTCATAAAAAAGCAAGACTCCAGATCTGGAGTAAGTCAAGATGATCACACTGATTTTTTTCAGCTAATAAGGAACAGGCCTATAAAGTTTTGAAAGTCCAGTCTGCATATAGTGGGCCAATTCTGTTAAGTTAACTTGATTTTATTTTGTTGGATAGTTTTAAAAAATCAACAGCTGTCTTTTTGATGAAAAAACTTCATGTTTCTATAACCAGATAACAAATAAACACTGGTGCATATTGACCTGTTTTGTTTAGTCCATTGGGATTACACTGAACTGCATCACCTGAGTTCCAATACTCCTTTTGTTTTATGGGCTGCAGGATCTTTTATAACTGTTTCTGAACCTTTGCAACTATAACATAAGACATGGTTCCTTGGTTTCCCTAACTTTGAAACTGCTTCTGCAGTTTGATTCATGAGTGATTCCATTTAAACCAATGAAGTTACTTTACTGACCATTTCTACAGTTTTTCTATATGCCTACAATGATGACAATAGATCTCAATGAAAATAAGTTGCAGTTATTTCCATTCAGGTTCCTTGTCAGCTCAATGGGATATTAGGTAAAATTAATGCTCGCTACAAAATCATTAATAGCATGGAGTTACGATAGGTATGCATTTAGCCAGCAAATAATTACCTGCATCTCAAAGATTATCCTCAGTTTTCCTCCAGATTAGCTACTGGGCTCATGAATCAGCACTTTGAATGATCTGCCCTGGCAAGCACACTGCATTTGTAAACCGAGCCCATTGTACAAAAACATCTGAACATTTCTCTCCCCCCCCCTCTGTTCTGCTCTTTGAGATATACATTCTAGTGACCTGGATTCTCCACTGCTACCAGGTGGCCTTGCCCCATTTAAATCAACAGAACCATGCTGATTTCCCCATGTGAGGATACAGCCCTTGGCAAATCCCTGTACTGGTCATTTCCAAGCATGCCCAGGTTAACACAGTGCTCTGCCCACGAGCTCCTCACTTACCTGCGGTACCACACGGACATCCTCGACTCTGTTTAAGGCAAACTTGTATCCGTGGCGACTGTGGCCATTAATGTAATTCACAGCAACTTCAGCTGCTGCTTCAGATTCTGGGTCATCACAGCCCAAGGGAGCAGGGGGAGCTGCTGGTGCAGCTTTGTGAATTGGAAGCTGAACAAGCAGTATTAAAGCTATTAGTGCCTTCATGGCACCCGAGGAAAACCGATCCCTTTCAGCAGTAAAGATCTGAGAATACTGTTCAGATGGCAGCTAGGTAGTGAGAACTGCAGCCTCATTTATATAGTACATACCACAGACTTTACATGAGTGCATGGCTGATATTTGTCCCAGTTCCAAGAAGCATTGCAAACAACAAAAGAGAAAAGTAAATGTTAGGACATCAAGCTGACTGATTAATATTGGCCAAAGTAAATTTTATCAGGTAGGATATTGCGAAGTCTGGTAAAGCAGCTTAAGAGGAAGCATCAGCAAAAATGTAACACAATTTTTATACACTTTTCTACCAACCAAATACTGTCCATGTAAGAGGAATATGATTCCTCCTGTTAAATGTGTAGAGATGCTAGAGCTAATTAAGCTTTCTTGTAAACAGGACACATTCTGTTGGGGCCCAAATCTCACCAGACACCAGTCTAAATTGTGAGATCAGTTACATGATAAATTAGAAAATGGAATTTGAAATATTTCTAAGGATCATATTCAACAATAAATGTAATCGGATAGCAGTTTTGCTACAGAATTTATTTGGAATAGGAAATGAGACATAGTTTCTAAATCCTTTACATCAGCTCTTTCTTTCTCTGAATACTCTGAATATGTCCAATTGTTCTTGGAGTTTTAGTTTGCAAAGCAGGTAATGTAGAAATGTTTCTGGAATATGTCGTACAGATTTGAGGATTTGGCAGAAGATCCTAAAGAGCACAAAAGTGTTTTAAGGAGAATGTAAATGAAAATTAACTGCTTAAATGCTAAGGAATGCTGGATCTCAGCTTATATTTACATTCACAGTATACATGTTTACAAAACAGTAACTGGATAAGGAAAATGTTCTATGTAGCAGAATATAGTTTCTATGATGTGCCCAGCATTCAAATCTTTCATTTGATCTGAGATGACTTTGACTAGATAGATTCTAGTGAGGTAGACTCTACCTCAACCAGTAAAAATGTTTTTCCTGCAGGGATTTCAGAGTAGGTTTCTATGATCCATTTTATGGCAGTGATCAGGCTGCAGAATAGTAAAGGTCTCTTTTGGCTTTAAAATATCTGAACCTCTGCTGTCATTTTTAAAGAGTTAAGGAACTACCTGCGGATTTAAGATGAGTAGGACGACTTTGGCATATTTAGAAGTATTTCCCAGCTTGCATGGTATTGTGAGAGAAGCTAAAAGTTTTGGAAAAAGAAGCAATCTTGAGTTATGCCTCTCTCTCCTAGAATCTGGAAATAGGGAAAACAGTATAAATAGAAATGGTTCAGTGGACAGATTAAGTGATGAAGAAAGAGGATGGGAAAAGACTGAAAAGATCGATTGATTTGCTTCAGTTGTGTGGGATGAGGTGCTTTTTGTATTCTACAATTTTCATATTGAAGAGATTCCTGGGGAAAAGAAAGGCTTCTCCTCTCTCTTGCATTAAAAAATTGGTCTCAGCATGATTTGTTTCTTCCCCTTGCTTGAAGCAGGTGTTGTTTGGCATTTGTTCTATTGTGTGGATTGTCATTTGTCTTCCTGACTTTGGCCTAGAACACTTAAAGGATGAAGGCTTGGTATCCCCAAAACACACTCTGAGTGTTCCTTGTGGATATCTTTTGAATCACAACAGATTTATTTAGAAAGATAGAATTTTACTCTTTACTTTTAACCCACACTTCAGTTTCTAACCTGTAAATCTTTTAATTTCCTTTTTCCTTTTTTGGTATGAAACACTGAGGTAGACTTCCAACAGGTGCAGATTGAAACTGTTTTTCACCTGAGTGACATGCAATTATCCCAGCGAAGGACTTAGACTATTATTTATAAATTTAGTCTGGTCATTACTCAGTTTCTTAGGCTGCATCTTCTCTACTTCAGAGTTGCAAATACTGTAGGATGTATAACATCTCTGCAGTCAAGCTCTACATATTCCTAAATATAATATATAACCCAGTTCAGTCAACTTCAGGTTCCGTTTTCAAAGAACAACTTAAAACCTCAAATAGCAAACAGGATTTATTATCTCCTTTCTTCCCTCTTCATTGTCACTCACATTCAGTATTCCATTTACCAAGCAGGACAAAAAGGAAATACTTTGAAGCCTTCTGTACCTCTTAGTTTCTCAATAGGCTTACTCAAGCCCTTCCCCTCTTGGTGACCGTATGAACTTTCCTTGCTGGCATACAGAGGATCAGAAATGTGCCCACATGATTATGCTCAGTGCAATGTGGAATGCGTGACCTGCGATATGTGTGAGGAAATTTGTATTTGGTTTTTATGTTTGGGAAAGGAGTTTGAAAGTGCAGTCAGGTAGTTTGGCTACAGGTGATATGACAAAGGAGCCTTTCATCTTTTGGATACAGGCTGACACAGATCTGCCTGATTATTCCCTCTGAAAGTGGGATTGCTGATGTCAGTTCCCTCCAGGCGTTGTCCCATCACGACTCACCCTTTTATGTACCCTTACTCAAGAGGCAATAATTGCAGAGATACCTTCTCATTGAACTCAGTACAGATCCATTCTTTCTCATGTCCAAGACATAGTAAAAAGTTGTCCTTCAGTAGTGGCTGCAAACACATCTTACAGCACAAGAAAGTGAGCTGAATTCCATGATCCCCTGGGCAGAAGGTGACATCTCAACCCCACTGAAGTGAACAAGTGTTTCACAGAATCACGGTATCACAGAATGGTTGACTTTGGAAGGGAAGTCACCTTGTGCAACCCCGCTGCACAAGCAGGACCACCTTGAGACATGCTCAAAACCACGTCCAGGTGGTTTTTGAATATCTCCAAGGAAGGAGACTCCACAACCTCTCTGGGCAACCTGTGCCTATGCTTGGTCATCCTCACAGGAAGATGTGTTTCCTGATGTTCAGGCAGAACCTTCTATTTCACCTTGTCCTCATTGCCCCGGTCCTGTCACAGGGTATTATCATCCTCTTCGCACTCTCCCTTCAGGTATTTATAACCGTTAAGATCCCCTCAAGCCTTCTCTGCACTAAGTAGTCCCAGCTCTCTCGGCCTTTCCTCATAGGAGAGATGCTCCAGTACTTTAGTCACCTTTGTGGCCTTTTGCCGCACTGTCTCTGGTATGTCTGTGTCTCTCCTGTACTGAGGAGCCCAGAACTGGGCACAGCATTCCAGATATGGGCTCACCAGTGCTGAATACATGGGAAGGATCACCTCCCTAAAGCTGCAGGCAATACTTTGCCCAGTGCAGCCCAGGATAACATTAACCCTCTGTGCAGCACGGGCACATTGTTGGCTCAACTTGATGCCTGCCAGGATCCGCAGGTCCTTTTCTGTCAAGCTGCTTTCCAGCTAGGTGGACCTCAGCATATATTCTTACATGTTCTTCCCCAGGAGCAGGATTTCAGACTTCTTGTTGAACCTCATGATGTTCCTGTCAGCCCAGTTCTGTAGCTTGTCATGGTCCCTCTGGATGACAGCACAACCCTCTGGCATATCAGTCACTTCTCCCAGTTTTGTATCATCTATAAACCTGCTCATCATCCAGATCATTAATGAAGATGTTAAACAGGACTGGACCCCAGTACTGCCTCCTGGGGTACCCCATAATTACTGGCCTCCAACTAGACTTTGTGCCACTGATCAGCACCCTCCAGGCCCAGCCTTCAGCCAGTTTTCAATCCACCTCAATCTACCTTTCACGTCAGTGGTGTTAGACTTTGGCCCTAGTGAATTAGGTTGCCTGAGAGACTTGACAAGGCTTCACTGTGATGGAAGGAGAACAAGCTGGGTTTACTGCCCTTGTTATATAAAATATAGTATTGATTCTATGCTCAAGGGTTGAGGCTCCACTGAATCTCAGTTCTTAATAATTCATATAAACCACAATGGAAAGGTGAGTTGATGGTTTTGGGGTTTTTTGCTTTCTTTCTCTTTTTTTGGTTGGATGCTTAGAACAAGTAGTGATGATTGGAAATTTGCTGCCCCTGCTCAACCTCATCTGGAAAAAAAGCAAAGAACTGCTTCCACAGATGTCAAATTGACACTTCCTGAGCTTAAAATTCAAACAAATTAACCAAGCAAACAGATAAATATCATCTTTTTAAAGCTTCAGATCAAAGTTAAACACTTGTGGGGATTTTTGAGGCTCTCTTTTCAGATTACTAAAATGTCATTTTTTGGTAAAGCAGACAGAACTGGTCCAATTCTCTGCACCACATCAAAAGATGCATTTCTGAGCAGTCAGGCATTGTACAATACTGCAAAACTTAATCACCTTTTGCTTTACACTTGATTAAGTACATTACTTTTGGATCATAGAGTTCACAAGATACTGGAACATCAGGGCTGTCTCCTATATAGCCATCACCTACTCAGAAACCTGCACGCAAAGGCAGGAAAATGTCTGCAGGGAAAATGTCAGATAGTTAAAGTCACCAGTCTTGTCAAGGCAGCATATTGCTTCCTTAAATGACAGTATAATCAGCATTTAAAAATAAAGTGTGTGAAAAGCCATAGAGGTCTGAGAAAAATCTCAAGACAAATTAGACTAATTGATATGTATAGTCTTACTGGCCCCTTTCCACTACATGGGCAAATCTTCAGCAGATGTAAGTTGGCTTAGAATCACTTCAGTCCAGGTCCCCCAGTGCCCCTATACCAGGAGTTTCAGGCTGCAGAAAAACTGTGAAGTCTGAACAGTTTTGCCAGACTGTAATAGTAGAACATTATATGTTAATTAATTTCTTTTTATTAAATATGAGAGTCTTTAAGAGAAGGAAGGCTGACCATGTGCCCTCCTTTGCTGTAGTATTTGCAGTTGGGAAAGATGAGCTCAGTTGCTTAGAGCATGGTGCTAATAACACCAGGGCTGTGGGTTTCATCTCTGTATGGGCCATTCTCTTAAAAACTGGACTCAAGGATCCCTGTTGGTCCCTTCCAACTCAGAATATTCTGTGATTCTGTGAATTTCTTACTGTGAGAAATAAAGTGTGCACACATGGCATCTAATTCGGGAGCCTCTAGTTTTGGGTGCCCAGCTAGAGACTCCATTTCACTCGACTTTGCTGATCTCAATCTGTTAATTTCTATTTTCTTTTAACTGTAGAATGAA